ATTTAAAGGAAAATTTGTACATATTCATATGATAATTCTGTTACTTTTTCCTAAAAGCTTTACATAAATGCTTCATCACAACATTATTTAACAAGCCCAGCCAGGAATTTTGGACCATTTTTAAACACTTCTATGTATAAGAATCTAAAAACTTTTGTTTCACTCAGATTTACATTGCATTGCAAAAATAGCATTACATTTTGTTTTGTTTTTTATTTTGTCAGGGTTTGGCAGATACAAGCAGCAGTCTAGATTACATGCTAAATAAAAAAGTCAAAACACCCCAAGAAAAGATAACTCCAATTAAGAGGAGCAAATGATCTCAAAATAATTACACATAGGGTTTGTTGACCTCAGAAGGCTGTTATTGTCTCAAAGAAATATGCAACAAAATACTGACTTGTATTTGTATGACTTGTGAATGTGTTGCAGCACCTTCAGTTAAAATCACTGCAGTAAACCAAGGTATTGTTTTGTTTTAATATGTTCGAATGTATGCTTGGAATGAGGCCTACTTCAAAATAAAACTTACAATATATTGTACTTATCATTCAAATTAATCTCTTGATCACAGCTCCAAAACACACGACTGAAAAACAAAAATAACAGTTTTGACAGTGTTGTTGTGACCTATTTGAAGGCACTCTGCTTCAATAGATATTCCCGTGAATAGGTTTTGAACACTCAAAGGGTTTCAAGGATTAATTCCTACTTTTATTTCTCGTGCACTGTGTAAAATGTCATAGCTGAAGTATGCATGCTTTAACAACTGAAAGCTCAGCTCTTAGCTCTTTTTCCAGATAGGCTGGACTCCTTTAGGGAAGAAAAAAACTCTTTGGTACAGTATCCAACAATGACCTACAACCTGGATTTGCCAGTCCAGTGCTTTAATAGTTTCTCTCTTTCCTAGTGTTAATCCCGCATCAGAAGGGTCCGCTTGTTGGCACAGCAGTCTCCGTTTGGTGGTTTGAACCAAATCTTTGAGCAGACGTTGCCATTAACTGCGACCAAGAAATATTCCAACCGGCGCGTCGCTCCACCTGCCGTCGGAATGGAAAGGGGGGGGGGGGAGGGTTCGAGAACAAAGTAATGTAGCCAATTCATAGAGGGGGATTATTAGGAGGCCATGATTGATAAAGGCCGATGGGAAATTTGGCCAGGACGCCGGGGTTACACCCCTACTCTTTTCGAGAAACACCCCGGGAGTTTTAATGACCACAGAGAGTCAGGACCTCGGTTTTAAGTCTCATCCGGAGGACAGCGCCTGTTTACAGTATAGTGTCCCCGTCACTATACTGGGGCATTAGGACCCACATGGACCATAGGGCGAGCACCCCCTGCTGGCCCCACTGACACCTCTTCCAGCAGCAACCTTAGTTTTTCCCAGGAGGTCTCCCAGCCAGGTACTGACCAGGCTCACACCTGCTTAGCTTCAGTGGCCAGTTGTGAGTTGCAGGGTGATATGGCTGTTGGCCATTTAATAGTTTGACAGAAGAAAAAACAGAAACTCTCTCAAGTACAGTATATGATTTCTCAGATTCAACCGATGCTGAAAGATTCTGGGGAATTTGTAGACTGGAGGAACCCTGATTTTTACTGAGTTCTACCAGACAAGATTAATGAATAATTGTTGTTTCTATTTATATACTGCTTTTCATCCCAAGGGATCTTGAAGCATTTTACAATAGTTTCTTCATATTAATTTCTGTCTAGATGTGTTTACACATTTCTGTCCCTTCAATTAGATATTTGCAAAGAGTATACAAATACAGTTTCTTAACTTCAAACCAACTTCCTCTTACAGTGTTTAAAACCAGTAAAGGTTTTTTTTAATCTATTTCCGGGAGCTACAAAGTACAGTATGTTTTATTTGTTTCTGTGATATCTTTACATTTTAGAATTTCATTTTAAAAACCATGATATGAATGCCCATCTTGCTCACAGCTGAAATTTGTCAACATGTTGACTCTCCGTCTTTCACTGCTCCTACAGAGCTCCAGTCCATTACCCAATCTACTGTTCCATCTGGGTGCCCACTCCTGCCCAGGACAGACTGGGATGATACGACCCCCCTCTTCCTGTATTCCCTCACCAGATGTATTATGTAACATGAACGTCTCCACAAGACAGGCCCTGATAAGGCAACGATCCACCCACAATTACTCAGCACACCGTGATATTTGTAAAAATACAGAAGTTTGTTGAGTTTGACTAGTTTAGTAATCCCAATTACAGATTGTGACGCATATAGCCTGTTTGGTAAAAAGAAAATCCTGGGTTTTTTTTTTTGGTTCTCTCATTTTTTTTCTGTTAAGGTGTTGCCAGGCTTTAAAAATCCATAGTATAGCCTTGTCTTGCGTTCCTGTGCTTCTCAGACAGGCTCAGGTGTGCTACAACTATTACCGTGAATAAGAATCTTACCGATAATGAATGTATTTAGAACACTTCTGCAGGACTGTGGATCCTCAAACATTAGTATACAGTAATAGGAATAGAAAAACAACTGACAGTTCTATAACTTTTAAAAAACGGTTTGATCCGCAAACTGTTCTGCTTCCTTCTTAATGACCCTCTGTCAAGAAGGCTATCCAGAAGCGTAGGTGGGTACTGTGTTTTGTCTAGTCGTAGAAGCGCCCTTTTTTTAACACTATTTGAATGAACAAGACCTGGAAGGCCTGGTCACCTTAATGTCCGGGTTATAGGCAGACAAATCAAGGACTCAAGGGGCAGGGTGCAGCAGGGTTTCTCATTCTTTAGAAATCAACATCATCAACAGTTGAAGATCTTTGAAAATTGTTAAATTTGGTGCAGTAAAACGTATGATTAAGAGCAGCCATGGAATAAAATTCCACACCCCTTGTCTAGGTCTTATGACTGAATGTTTTGGTGAAGAGGTTTCAGACTCATTTCCTGTAGGGCCTGATGTTTTTTTTTTCTACTCATGCTCTCATTTATACCAATTGGTCAGATTATTTCATTAACAGCACAATTTTTATACTTTGCTCCTGGCTCTGAGGTGTTTTCTAAGTAACAGTAAGTAAAACATGAAATGTAAATGAAACAACTGTTTTAGTAATCAACTGTAAAAGATTTTTTTAAACTCTAAATATGTAAAATTAAAACAAAATGTTGTGTAATCGGTGCTCAAATTAGAATAAAAAAATGAGAAGACACTAGACCCTCCAGGAACTGACATAATTGGGGAGGGTTTTGTCATTCAAGACATCAGTATAGCAATACTAGTGTATGGCAAAATAAAGTGGTCTTGCTTGTTCTAAACTCAGGACAGATTTGTTTTTGTATTGTGAAGAGAACATTTAAAAGTAAAAAAAAAACGTATTTTATTTTGGAATCACAGCAATGAATAGCGAGGTTAGAATTAAAAACAGGGTCTCATACTCAGTTCTCTAAATTAGACATTTATGTAAATGTTATTGAGGTCTTCTATAGTTGATAAACAAGACATTCACTTCATTTAAGGTCCAGTTAACAATAAACATCTTAGAGCCTGGTTAGAAATATTAGAATTCAGCACCTAGTTAAATCACACCAACAATGTCATCGAGAACGTGGGTGAAAAAAAACTCAGAAGACACGAGTCCCTCCAGGAATTGAGTTTGAGACCCCTGTAATAAGGGATGGAATAACCCAGCGTTGTCTTGCAAACTAATCTGAGACAAGTATGTGGAGACGAGGTCAAAACTGTCACGTCCCACAACCTGTAAAGTAATACTAATATTATAAGGAATAACCGGGGGGAGGGAGGTGGTAAAGTGGTACTGTCATATGTTGTCTTCTGCTTTTCTGTTACGCAGGAAGAATTACACCGCTGGTTAGTTCTTCCATGACATAAAATATCTCGTTTCAGTTTAACGTAGTAGTGTCCAAACGGGGGATTTCCTTAAAATAATTTTCATAGAGTTGCTTTGCCACAAAACTTTGAAAATGTAAAAAAAATAAATAAACCTCCCTACACAGCGCATGCTATTAATTTTGTCCGGAGAATTGCCAAGACCAACAAGCACATCAGAATGATTTGTTGAGGTTGCTTACATGAGAAGAAATACAAATTCTTTGGCTTTGAATTATTCACAACACTATGAGTGATATGCAGCTTTGTATCAATTATTTAACAAATGCTGATTCTCTTGCCCATCCCTTTTTAAAACACACATCCTAAGAAAGTAACACGTACATTAACTGTGGATATCAATGTTACGAAATGGTGATATACGTGTATTCGAGTATGCTTTAGGTACAGGAAGGGGTTTAGAAAAAAAAATAATAAACAATTTTGGCCATGTGAATACTCAGATCTCGGTTCACATCCAGACTCCCCCACCCCGTGTTTTTCCTTGACATTATCATTTGCGAGCGAGTCCGATAGAATAGAAGCCATTGCCTGTTTAATAGCTGCTGCTGCAGCAGCACTTCCGCTCCGCGAGAGGGGAGAGACACGAGCCCAGGCAGCGGAGTCACAGACACAAAGAGAGGTACCGTTTAAAAGACGAAAATATTCTTTAATGCCAGTAAATACTCTCCTTAACGGCCCCCGGTAGGTCTCTGGCATCGACAGGGGGCCGCCTGTAGAAGTTTTTGCGGGGTTAACGAGGATATTAACCTGTCGGAAAAAGCAGAATGAAGAAAAGGATCCGAGCGACGAGTGGAGCTGAATAGACAGATCGGTTGCAATGTTGAGAGGAGAGAGAAAAAAAAAAAGGAGACACTGCTGATATACCCCCGCAAGGAAGACCAGAGGTTAAATTGATCAGTTGGATGAAACCCGTTTGAGATTTTAGGCTTTGGTTAGTTGTTTTTCGGGGTGTGAAGTTTGATCAACTATATGGGGTCTTGGGGACTGAAAAGCAAGTCAAACATTTCCAGAATGGATGCGACGTTGGGGTAGCCAGATACATGAGAGTACGGATATATATCTATCTATTTATCTTTCATTAGCTGTGCGGAGCTGTACCCAGTTCCCAGCTTTGAGCTGGCTGTCTCTGAATTGCTGGGGTGCAGGTAAATATTCATTCCCACTCCGGCGAAGTGTGTTGTTTGGGAGAGGAGCACAAGGCGTTGGGAGGAACGGAGGAGTTCAGGACAGTTGTTTGGCACATAAGTCTCGGACAGAAAGTAAGTTCCCTTGACTTCAGAAAATCGGAGTTTAGGGGGGTGTTTTGCCCTGGCTGCACAACTTCACACGCAGTCTTTAGGAGTGGCGACCGTGAGAAGGTGCAAAGAGGCTGATCTTGGGGGTAAACCCACATGCCACAGGCGTGTCGTCTACCAGTCTTATTTGGTATGCATTTATTTCGGAAGCTAACCCTCGATTCCCTCTGCTCGCCTTTCCAGGTTGGGTTTTTTTTTTCCGTTCCGTGCGGCCGGTATGTCGGATGAGGATTCGAGGGCCAGTACTAGCTCATCGTCGTCATCTTCCTCGTCCTCCGCTCAACATCAGAAGGAGAAAGAAACAACCAGCAAGAAGAAGGAGAGCAAAGCCAGTATGAGCAAAACCTCCAAACTGCTTTCTACGAGCGCAAAGAGGTAAAGGGGGAATCGGTTGAGGGCTGAGCAATGCCAGTTATCACCGGTCGGACAGCCATTGTATCGGGACAGAAAGAGTTAACGCTTAGTGTGATATTAGCAACCCTTGGCTGTGTGCGATCTAGTTTTCAGGTTAAACACATTTTTTTTTTTCCTTGGGAGGACTGCAGTAGCGTCATACGAACCAACTTCGTATTAAGATGTCTTTGGAAGCTCATCCCACCAGTTCTTAGTCCTGATAGCTTCCCAGCCCGAAGAAAACCACCCCTTCTTTGAGAATGAGTGGGTTTTACTTCGTATTTTTTTAAATATGATTATTTAAATTCAGGCTCATGCTGAAATAACACTTTCTCCCATGCAACCGACGCTTCCTCAGACGTGTCTCCTTTAAGAGATCTCACAACAAGCTCAGCTATTCTGTTTCAATGGGGAACCAGCTCATTTGCATATTAGCTTAAGCAGTTTATTGCGAAAATTAGGAGGGGGGGATTGGCGAAATTCCTTCGGTAGCTGCTTGTAAGGCGAAGGTATTTTGGCTCCAGGTGAGGGCCACCCGCGAAATCAGTCCAGAAGTGGGTTATTTCATCTTTAAAATATTGGTGAGTAGGAGCTGCTGGGAGCGGCCATGTTTGTTTCGCAGGCAGAGGTCAGCAGCTGTGCCTGCGTGCGATGTAAATCACTGATTCCTTCGGTACCGACTGATCGAGACTAACGAGTGGTTTCTGTTTCCTTCAGAATCCAGAAGGAGCTGGCAGATATCACTCTGGACCCTCCTCCGAACTGCAGGTACCCGGGTTTGGTTATTTTATTATTACGGTTAGGATTTCCCTATCAAGAGTGCTTCCTTAAAGGCGCAGAGCTTGGCTGTGAATTTGTGTCGGCCGACAGCAATCGCCTGGTACGACTCGGGAGATTATTCAGTATTGTGCTGCATCCTTTTTGTGTTCTGGCAAGAGACCGTTAAGGCATAATCAGAGATACTGTGCGAGATCCTCGTAGTCATCTAAATAATTTAGAAAGGACCACACCGGTTTTTTGTTCCCTAAGAGGTGAGCTGTTAAAAAGAAATCGGATTCCATCTGTGCAATGCAGAGGAATGGGAGAAGGGGTCGGGATTTTCCCCCTCCTTGTGTCATTGCACAGTATAAAGGTTTCTTTTGGCTCAGCAGGGGCAAAAGAGAAATAGACTTTACATGAACGGAAATAGCAGTGATTTTATTTTTGATGGCGTTTGCATTCATCTTACACAGTCACGTAAAGCTGTTTCTTTAAACTTATAATGAGAAAGATGCACCTGTGCAAAATACACTTTCAAATGTGTATTGTCTCTTTATTTTGTGCAGTTGTTTAACAGTTTAATATATCCACTAATACATTATATTTAAAGTATATTTTCCAAATAACTTTGAGGACATTTCACTAAACCTTTTCAACACCCTTATTCCCATAGGGACTGTTTGTTTTGGGATTGATTCAGTGAATTGTTTTTTTTTAATTATTAGTATGCTAGTTCTGTGTAAGATTTTAGTGTTTTTATGCTGGAAACCTTGCTTGTCATTGGTCAGTGATTGATTGTGTACCTATAACAATTCTTAAAAAGCTGTCTTCATTCAGGCAGTTGGTAACAATAATGAGTTGCATTTATATATTACTTTTCAGCTTAAAGGATCCCAGAGCACTTTCCTTTATAACCAGGGTCCCACTTCATCCTCTACTCATAACAGAGATAGAGGTGTAGCTTTTTTT